TGTTGAGTGGCTCACACCATTGCATCCAAAGCTCATCAAATCTTCTTTGAAGTTTTTCCCATCAGGAATGAGTTAAGTGTATGTAGTAAATATCTTATAAAAAATTTTGAGGCAAGTTGGAAGAAATATCAACTTAGACGAATATTTAAAATTTCACTATTTTTTTCACATTGAAATTCAATAACTATAATACATTAGACTTTAAAAATGAATGTCAAATTCTGTATTTTCAATTTCATTTCCCTATTCTGTTCAGCAATTCATATGTATATAAACGAATATATGAAACTCCTTCATATGGCATTCATCGATTATGAAAAGGCATTTGACTCTGTACAAATGCCAGCAGTATTAGAAGCTATTTGAAGACAGGGAGCAGAGGAGGTATATTGTAAAATATTGAATGATATATGCAAGGGATGGGACAGCAACCATCAAGCTCCATCCATACTGAAACCAATAAAATACTAATTAAAATGGGTGTTAAACAGGGCAACACCAGCTCACCAAAACTGTTTACAGCTTGAATCAAGGAAATATTCAAGAAACTAGACAGGGACAGAAAGGATATCAAAATGATATTGTTCTTTTCTGTGATTCAGCAAATGAATTGTAGCAATTAATAAATGATCTAAACAGAGAAAGTCTGAAAGTTGGACTTGGGATGAACAAGAAAAAGACTAAGGTCATGTTCAACAGGTAGAGTTCAATTTGAACAGATATATGTACAAGAAAAAGTGCTAAAGGTATTGGACAAGTGTATATATCTAGGACAACTCATACAGAACACATCTAGCGAAGAGGAAATAAAGTGACGCATCAGTCTACGCTGAAGTGCCTTCGGCAGACACAGTAGCATACAAACTATGTCTGAATCGCACAAAAACTTAAAAAGTTATCGGTTCTTATCACTAAACAAACAGTGGAAATATGGCACTCTATATTTTGGACACTTGCCAAAGTTTGTTATCTCTGTTATTTTTCACTAAATCTAATGTTTTATATATAATATATATATATGTATATATATATATATATATATATATAATATATATATATATATATATATATAATATATATATATATATATATATATATATATATATATAATACATATACATATATATATATACATATATATACATACATACATACATACATACATACATACATACATACATACATACATACATACATACATACATACATACATACATATATATATATAATATATATATATAATATATATATATATATATATATATATATAAATATAAAAAGCTCAATTTGTGTACTTTGCGATGCGATGATTACCTAGTCAATCAGAATTATCATTCTTAATAGGGACACTATTCTGTAAAGGTATGTCTCGTAGTTTTGTTTGTTTGCTGGATATAAAAATAGATATTTCTGTCTGAAAAGTATAATAAATGCATTGAACTATAGAGACAACTAATCTAAACTAGATAAAACCCTTTTTTTTCCCCTTTCATTTTGAAGAAACTGTGGATGGCAATATCAGTACAAAATCATCCTAGTTATAAAGTCCAAGCATGATTACAACATGGCGGTTCAATTTTGAGTATTTTAAAAACTTATGTATTTAATACATGGAATTCGAGATTTACCGAAGCAGTTGAATTTTTTCCATGCTCCACACAGTGTAGAGAGGGGGGGGGTGGGACTGGGTGTTTAGAATTTTCGAGGAGGATCATGTATGTAAACACACGCACATAAAGTTTAAAAATTTAATCATCCTCGTTTAGTAGGCCTACACCAACTTTTACATGTAAAGGAATAAAATATATTACTTCTCCTTATCAAACCGTTTACTTTGATAATTGTCAATAGTAACAGTTTGCAATGGGAAACAAGTGTAGAACTGGCTTTTAGTTATTTGCATCCATTATCTTTACTATTAAGTGCATAAAATCATAGGTGTGGTTGGCTATTTACGTACTTATGCTACCTACAACCTACAGTAACGTCTAAACTTAATATTTTTTATTGAAAATGCACAAAAAGGATGCGATAGCTGTTTCAACTCTAAACAAAGACTGTGCAGACAAACAAGCTCAAAATTTCATAGTTTTTATTTCTGAGCAGGTATTCCTGTGTACTACCATCTTCAACATAAAATAATCGTTATCTCGCTTATATCTCCAAAGTTCAAGAATTCAACTTTTACGTGCTCTTCGTATTGAAATATTCTAAGGCAGAAACGAGCAATTTAAAATCAAATCAAATCAGTACTGACCACTGAACGAAGTCAATTGGAAATATTTGAATGATTATTTATGCGGCCCTTTTCTAACATTAGTGCTTGGTGCTCAGTATACATACAGATCCCTTTGTAAGCTACAACATATTACCAGGGAGTCTTGATGGAAGCACATTTCATTTACTGATATAATTTTTTTCTGATATTGGTATGTGTTCTTTGAACATTCACAAACTCATATCTATGCACAATGTCATTATCAAATACTGTAAGCATGATTGCAACAAGCAAAAGTCCACATAGATGTTCCCGGGTGCATATTAGTGGTGCACCTCCCCACATGTTGGCGGGTCTCACGAGTGCAGCCTGCAAACTAACCATAATTCAGTAGTTTCTTCATTCATGTACCTATACAATATGATAACTCAATCTGACCCAAAAATTTTCACACCCTCAGGACAGTCCCCTTCAATCAAACTGCTCTGGGCTGCCTTGTCTAGTATAACAATCTCATACTTTTGGCATCTTAGCCCACCTGCTGAGTTCCAAAAGTTGGCTAACTGGTAGTTGGGAATCATAGGCAGTTTCCTGCTTGCACCTGGTTCTTTCTAAAAAACAGCATTAGGTATTTAACCCATTGGACCCAGATGACACTGCGGTCATGTCCATGGAAAAACTTCAGCTGAGGGGTAGGTAACGTGAACATGCCGTCAATTGGACGCCATATGCCCAGGATGTTGGCCACTTACATAACCCACTGCCTGTGTTTTCAGCACCATAATTTCCGTGATGCAACTGGATCCAACCAGATCATAGCTATAGAAACCAAACATTTCAAAAATGCAGTTTTGCTTCAACTTAGGAGCCTTTAGATAATAATGACACAAAACATGTGATGCCATTACTATCAGAGTAAGATTAGCTCCCTCTGATCAGCAATTGGTGCATCAATAAGCAATGACTCAGCCAAATGTAGCCATGACCAAGTATTATTTTGCATTTTAATCTTATATATAAGCTTATATATATATATATATATATATTATATTATTATATATATATATATAATATATATATAAAATAAAAATGTACAGTAGATGTTATCACATTAGAACTTATAACCAGTTAAAAAACAATTCAGTTTAACACAATAAAGGTATCTGTACTACATTCACCTTACATCAATTCAGTAGTGATAAATGCTTATTGTGATATATTTTATAATATATTTTATTTCTACCTTGTGATATTTGGTCTTGTCTCATCACAAGAATCTGGTAATCATTAAAAAGAAAGAAAAAAAGAAAAAAACACTTGTGTAAATTACTCAGTTATACTAGATAGTATGACTTTAGTGCTACTCAAATTTTCAGTGTAGCCAGTTGATAAAAAAAATATAGAAAAAAAAAATTATATATATACATATATATATATATATATATAATATATA